TAAAGGTTCTGACGTCACGATCCGAGGCTGGCAAAAACAAACTTCACTTGCGACCTGGTCAAAAGAGAACGAGTGCCAACATACGGGAGCTCATCGACGTCACTCTATATGAAAGATCTCCTGCAGTCGCCAACCCAGCCGAGGGCATAAAGCTATATCACATCACGAGCCACTTGACAGCGGAGGAGGCGGTGCAACACCACGTTTGTGTCGAGGCATTGTTGGGCAATTTGCTGACTGACAAGCTGGTTTCCGACGCTACCGAGGCACACGGTATTCCAGAACAACAGATGCAGTGCAACCATTGGGCGCAGGCTGTGCAATCATTGGTCTGGCGACGCATCACTCGAGCGAGTACCGACGCTTCCGAGAAAGACGGCCGGCCATGGTTTCGAAATAACAAAACACATAATCAGCGTAAGCAGGCGAAAGCTGAGATGAATGCCGCCCTTGCTTCTAGCCCCCACCGCCTTGCTCGCTCGCATTGTAGATGGCAATGTAGCAGGTGTCATGAACAGATCAGTAGGCACGCTGGACTAGCTGTAACTAAGAGCTGGTCAAGTAGTTAGGCCTCTTCTTAAAAGAAGCGAAGCGAAGCCATCCGTGTAGCTTCTAGAACTGCTCACCCGAAGCACACTATGCAATATACCGAGAAATTCAGCATCTGGTGGTGCACTAGCTGTGGCCGTCGTACCAAGGCTACGGACGGGGGGAGTATCACAGGCCTGCTCGAAGAGCGTAAACCCTAAACCAAAAATGGTGGGTGGGCAACCTCTTGCTCAAAGCAGGGTAAAGCACTGCAACACTAGGCCGCGGGAGGCCTCGGGGCCCAGGTGGCGCCATCGCTCGCTCGCCGCGCGATCCTCGACTCTGTCGTCGCCGAATTCTCCCGAATTCTCCTCCGCCTCCTCCTGCTCCTCCTCCTCCTCCTCGTCTTCCTCCTCGTCTTTTTCCTCCTCTTCCTCCTCCTGCTCCTGCTCCTGCTCCTCCTCCTCTTCCTCCTCCTCCTCCTCATCCTCCTCCTCCTCATCCTCCCCCTTCTCCTCCTCCTCCTCCTCCTCCTCCTCCTCCTCCTCCTCCTCCTCCTCCTCCTCCTCCTCTTTGACGTTGCCTGGATTTCATGCTAAAGCACGCAGCGGTTTGACATGACACTGTAAAAGGGCCGGCTCAGGCCAAGAACAAACAGCAAAATACGTCTGGCCGGCGCAGCCGAACCTAAGATGGGATGGCAGGAGAGAAAAGCATAGAGCACCGAGGGGCGCAGAGTATGCACCAGTCAGGCGGTGCGAGGTGAGAAAGATCGGTCGAGCGAAAACCTTAGAAACGGAAGTGAACATTAGCAACACCTGTCGAACGGAAGAAGGAGGAGCGAACTACACGAGCAGCAGTAGCTAAGTGGAGTACTGCTGTGCCTGGGATTGTCTTGATAACCCCACCGTAGGTACACCAATCAGAATACACCTTCCCTTGCCTGTTCAGACACGCGGCGTCTGAGTTAAAGAGTCGCATAACAACATAACAACGCAGGCGACGCTAGACATCAGCTAAGCCTGGTGGTACTTTGGTGATCCCTCCACACCTCCCCCACCAAAACACACTCCCCAATCCTCATTAGATTAGCCAGGCAAGCTGAGACGTGGCAACATAGGGAAGTGCCATGCGAGGAAAGGTAACCTATACAGGCGGTTCTGGGCGTAGGTGCAGAGAAAGCTAAAAGTGATATAAACATGCTTAAGCTGGCCCTTGCAGGCTGGCCTGCTAGTTGCTGGGACTGAAGTCCAGCTGCACGAAAAAAGAAAGGACGCGTCAGATGAAAGATTTCCCCTTCCCGTCCTCCTCCTCCTCCTCCTCCTCCTCATCCTCATCCTCCTCCTCCTCCTCCTCCTCCTCCTCCTCCTCGTCCTCTCCCCCTCCTCCTCCTCCTCCTCCTCCTCCTCCTCCTCCTTCTCCTCTTCTTCCTCCTCCTCCTCTCCTCCTCCTCCCTCCTCCTCCTGGTTCCTGGTTTCCAGATTCCTGGTTCCTGGCGGCTGGAATGAACGTCGTTCGTAACGGTGCCTCCTCCTCCTCCTCCTCCTCCTCCTCCTCCTCCTCCTCCTCCTCCTCCTCCTCCTCCTCCTCCTCCTCCTCCACTCCTCCTCCTCCTCCTCCTCCTCCTCCTCCTCCTCCTCCTCCTCCTCCTCCTCCTTCTTTCATAATGAAGATGTCGGAGTGCCACCTGCAGGAGGAGGAGGAGGAAGAGGAGGAAGAGGAGGAAGAGGAGGAGGAAGAGGAGGATGAGGAGGAGGAGGAGGGCGATTCCGCGTAGCGATGAAAGGCTGAGCTCAGCACGTGGGGAACGGGCCACGACGAATCCGATCGAGATGTTCGCGCCTGGCCTTGGTAAGCAGATGATGGCGGCACGGATTTCCCTGGTCCCCTGAGCTGGGCCTGGCCGAAATGTCCGCATGAGCCACATAATCAAATACGAAGGTCTTTGTGAATCGCGATGAGAACGAGGAGGACTTTGACGTTTTCGATGTGGGGGGACTCCTGAGGGGGAGGGGGGGAGCGGTTGCTGCCACAGCTGGGCGCAGCTTCAAGGGCTGGCCGGGGTGGTGTCCCGGAGAGGTCCGGGCATTGGTTCTGAGCGGCGAGGGATGGGCCCGTGGCCGCCGCGGGAAGAGCACGAGACACCGAAGGGCGCACTCACTGGTGCTCTGCGCCCCCCATCGGAGGCGCACGTCCGAGCGAACACCTCGAACAGACAGACTGCCCGGGCGGTGTGGCCAGAGAGCGCCCGCCACCGAGCACGAACTCCGAGACTCTTGAGCGCGCGTGCGCGTCGCCCCCGGAAGTCAACGAGCGCACCAGAGGAGCACGGTGGGGGCATTGGATAAAAGAACCCTCAGATAAGGAATCCAGGGTCTGGAGGCTGGTGGAACTCCAATCGAAGCCTGGCCATGGGTATCACCTCCGCCCTCATCAGATAAGGAATCCTCCAGGGTCTGCAGCCTCCTGGGCGCATTCCTTAACCAACGCCCCCACCGTATGTGCTGGGCGATGCCGAGAGCACGGCGTGCGTCCCTTTCCCGATGTGGGCCTCTGGGAGCTGGCTTCGGGCCCCAGTGCCGTCCAAGAGCGGCCCATGCGGCAGCAAGCCAGTCTCGGGGTGTGGCCGGAGAGACATGGGGGCCCACCGTCGCAGGACAGTCACGGCGTCGAAGCCTGGGTCGGGCGTGGACAAACCTCCACAAGAAACATGGACCGTGAACTACAAGAAGTCCGACGGACAGGGCGGATCTGGGAGCCCTCGACCTCCCTTTGCAGACAGAACGCCTTGGTCCTGAGAAGTTGGAGCCTGGGGGCAACCCCGCGAGATGCAGGCGACGTCTTCAGGCGGCCTCCGCTGTGCAGGCGTCCTCCTCCGCAAAGGGGGGTGCCGCATTGGGGGGCTCTGGCCCAGGGGGGCTGACAACAGGAGGAGGAGGAGGAGGAGGAGGAGGAGGAGGAGCAGGAAGAGGAGGAGGAGTGCCCAAACGTCCACTGCATAGATTTGCCCAATCTCTGGGGGCAATCTTCTGTCCCAGAGCCATGCCTGATGGCTCCAAGACACTAAAGCGGCACCCGGAGGTTAAAAGCGGCAGGATTAAAAGCCCATCCGCCCGAGAACCTGGGTGGGAGGACTGTCCGCCCTGGCCAGAGCGCCCCTCGTCCGGGCGCCGTCGTGCCCAGTATGGGCCAGGCGGAACGGCGCGGACGGAGTCGACCGAGCGATCAGGGATCAGTGAGCGATTCTCCGTCTGGGCGACAGAGAATCGATCGAATCCAGACATGCACCCAGGTCCCCAGAAGCCCTCATTGAAGGAGGAATCATGCCACATGAGGAGCGGAATGGAGAAAGAAGAGAGGGAG